ACACTGCCCTGGGTTCGGCGATGGCGTCGGGGCGTTGTTGCACTACTGCGGCAACTTCTTGCACACCTTCGTCCCACCGGAGACTGACGGAAGCCTCAGAGGCACGGGGCCAAACTGATTTGAGGTGCTGAACGTGCTGCATGTGTGTATTGTGCGGTATGATGAGCTTCTCCAGTTGGGACACGATGGAGAGGTCGAGGCCGTGGTCTCGGGCGCACGTGCGACGCTCACGGTCGTCGACCACGAGGTAGCGGACTGGCCCAGAGTCGGCAGCCGAGTACACCTTCCTGTACATGGTGCCGTGAATGCGGATGAACGATGGTCGGAGGACGCCCCCGAATCGAACTTCTCGTTCTGGTGTGGCGCTCTGGACCTCGTGGGCGGCGAGGCTGAGCAGGCTGTTGTAGCGGCGAGAATCCGCAGTGAAGCCCGTAAGCTTGGGCGCATTCGTGGTGTCGTCGTGGACGAGGTTCCCGTGCGTAGTCTTCACAGGCCAGGTGCGTCTGTACAGCTGCAGAAGGGCATCGCCTGGCTGCTGGTAGTACTGCGAGAAGTCAATGGCGTACTTTCCTTGTGCACAGCAGAAGCCTCGAACTTCTCGCTGGAAGCGTGGTGCCCCGCAATGTTCGCAAGGGTTGGCGAGAGCGCCCAGGGAAAGTGAATGTATTTGGGTAGAAGGTCTGCCAGGCTCGGCGCAGGACCGGCACACTCCAAGTAGATGTTCGCGCTGATGATTGCCAAAGTCGTCCAGAGGGAGGACGAGGCCGCATTTTGCGCAAGCCGCCGTGTAACGGCCGCCCGCTGTGCAGTCAGTGCAGACAGGGTCTGGTCCAGGGACGCCTCGAGGAACGAACGCATCCACGGACTTCGTGGCTTTGCAGCTGGTGCACTGGTAAGCTGTAGACGACCGAGGAGGATGAGCGCGACCGATGCATTGGATGCACACTTTTGTTTTCTCATGGCGTTGCCTGGTGCTGAAACTATCCCGGGGGAGGACGTCACCGCAAGCAGCGCAAGAGAATGTGGTGTGAGGGTCGGAGGGGTTAGCGCCGGCGGCGCAAGCGTGGCACTTCCTTGTGGATCTGGGTCTTTGGTTGTCGCTGAAATCTGTTCGAGGCAAGTGCTGTTGGCACGCAGAACATTGCAGTGTTGCGGCCTTCGGGCTGCACAAAACCAGGGATGGTTGCGTCAGGAATCGGGCATGGCGTAATGTCCAAAGCCCGGTCCGCGCAGCGATGACAGGCGGAGTGCGGCTCGGGGAGTCGTTATGACTCACAGCGACGCTTGCAACCGCCGTGGACGCAGCCACGTGGCGCCACGGCAACCGGGCAAACATAACGCTGAACGATTGAGCCTAAATGGGTACTGAAAGAGAGGTGGGTAGGGGTAGGGAGCAGACACCTGCGCTGTTGTGTGGAGTAGTGTCAGCACGGGGTCTGGACCGCTGTGTGTAACTCCTACTGGGGCTGCGCCACTCCGAACGACAATCACTGAGGCCAAGAGCGACAGATCCACTCAGAAGCACTCGTATTGAAACTCACGTACGCATGGACTGAATGCGGCTGAGACAGAACAATGCAGACATGTGTGCACATGTGTGGCCGCGTGGAATCCTTGACGGGGCTGCGTCTTGGAGACGGGGCGCTCTCTTGCGCCCTCGTCGGGCCGTATAGAGGCCTCGTGGTCTGTCTGGGACGCTCTGGAGTCCGAAAGACGAGAATGAGAGAATCACATGAGTAGCTAAGGAAAAGCATTGGATCTTACCCTTGGGGGCCCGCTGGGAGTTCTGTAGAAGCGTCCGCGATACATCGTGGCCCGCCTGGACATGTTCGTGGCCACACCCAGACAACGTTCACAAAGGGGTAGGGCAGCCAGATCCACGGATGGGCGCTCGCAGTCACACTCGCGCACGCTTAGACTCGATGCGGCTTAGACAGAACAGAGCAGACATGAGAGGAACGGGGGTGGCCGTGTGTACTCTTTGACAGAACGTCGTCCTTGAGACGGGGCTGCGGACTCTCCCAGCTGTTGAAGAAATCCCGGAGGAACTGTTGGGAAAGAGAAGAAGGAGGAGGATGGCGCTCTGGGAAAGTTTTCTGGCACGCTTGGGGCTTCTTGACAGTGTGCTGGGGGCCTCTTGCAGCGATCTTGAGAGTCTCCTCGGTCCGCTTGGGGCGTTTGGGGGGCTCTTGGGGGCCTCTGGAACCATGCTTAAGCGCTCCTGGCCCGTCTGACGCCGTCGAGATCTTTAGGGAGGACTTCGGTTCGGATTGGGGGGCTGTCTTAAGGCGCTTCGAAGCCGCTTGTGCGGCGATCTTGGACGTCTAGGAGGGCTCTGCGGCCGTGCTGTGAGGCGATCTTGGACGTCTAGGAGGGCTCTGCGGCCGTGCGGGGGCCTTGTTGGGACCGTTTTGGGGAGGCTCTGAAGCTGTTTGGGGGCGTCTTGGGCCACCATGAGGCCATCGTAAAAGGTTTTGGATGCATTTGGGGCCGGTCCAAAAGACCACTTGAAGGCGTCTGGCAGAGGGAGCGGGGGCCTCTTGAGGCATTTTGGGCTCTTCGTGCGCCTTTGTGGGGTACTATGATGGCGTGGTCCGGCCGCTGTGGATTTGCCGGGCGGGTTTCCGGATGTGATTTTATAGGATAAAGGAATATAGATATATATATATATATATACATACATACACACACACAAGAGTGCAGTGGCGCTTCGCGCCATGCACCTTGGCACCTTGGCCTTGCACCGTGCGTGGCGCTTCGCGCCATGCACGGGGTTCAGCGCGGCGCAACCTCGGCATGCCCCCCAAGCGCGGGGCGTCTACCGGGCGCCCACGAGGCGGCAAGGGCGGCAACGCGACGCAACTTCGGCACACCCTTAAGTCTGGCTTGTCCCTTTACAAGGGGAATGTCCAAAAATAGTAAAAAAATAGTCTGGGGACTACCTTTTTGCATATTTTTGGGCAACTTTTGAGCATTTGTTGGGTCTTTTCTTTTCGCCCAAAATCCCCCTGTACGGGACAGGCCCGACCTAAGCATACCCCCAAAGCGCGGGGCTCCCACGAGGCGCCCACGAGGCGGCATGGGTCCGCAACGTTGCGAACGGCCAGAATGCCCAGCCAAGTGTTGAACGAAACAAAAGTAAAAGGCCCTTAGTTGCAAGCCTGTTTGGTTAATATTCTGCGCGGGACTCCTGCGAGGCCAACGGCGGCAGAGGGAAAAGATCGGGGTGAACCCCCTACAGGGATGCAAACTCGACTTGTCTGGCTGTCGCTCCAGGGACACCTGTGCTCAGGGAAGGGTGCAGCACCGCTTAACGACGTATTGTTAACCGAACCTGCAGGGTGGGCCTTTCCATTGAGGGGGTCACCCCGATTTTCTCCCTCGGGTGATAGTCCGTATATACACATGCAATATAGCTCTCTCTCTCTCTCTCTCCCTCTCCCTCTCTCTCTCTCTCTCTCTATATATATATATATATATACAAGACTGCAGTGGCGCTTCGCGCCATGCACCTTGGTCCTTGAATATTGGTATGCAGGCGGAAATGGCAGGAAGGTCACGGACAATTTTGCGATAACTCCTTGCTGCCTTTTCTGGCATCGCCGTTATAATAATGTTGTTCGTGATCCCTCCTCCATGCTTAGTTTTCCTCATTCTCGCCATATCCTGGGTATTCTCCCCATCCTTCTCAGCTCTTTTTGCGGAGGCTCCTCCTTGGAGAGCCTCTGGGGGCCTCACCAAAGTCCTCAGGCTTTCTTAAAGCCTTCTGGAGGCCTCCTGGGCGTATTCTGGGGGCCTCTTTGGCTTCCTAAGGCCAACCTGCCTCTCACCGCAGTCTCCCTGAACGCCCCGGTCACGATTTGGAATGCTTCGGAGGGTGTCTTGGGGCCATCTTGGGCCGCCATGGGGGTCTCTTAGGGCCATTTTGGACCCCTGTTGTGCCGGTCTGGGGCTTTCTTGGACTGCCTGGGAGCCCTTTCGGGTGGTTGCGGGTCGATTTTGGAGCCTCCCAGGCGACTTCGGACGCCCAGAAGACCGCTGTTTTGGAGCGTCGGGAAGCCGAAAAGAGGAGAACCCGAAATTCACCAAAAAATCTACATTCAATTTATGATTATTCCCTCTTGGGGCTTTCTTGGGGGTGCTCTTGGAGGCCTCTTGGCAATTTGGAGCGATCTTTCGGGGTATGACGGCTTCTTGGAGCGCTCTTGTGCTGTCTTGGGGTTTTCTGGGACGTCTCCGATGACCCCCCTGATCGCCCTAGGTGTGCTGCGAAGGCTTGGCAAAACGCCCTGCGAGGCCCGGGCAAAACGCCCTGCGAGGCCCGGGGGGCCGCTTCGAGGCCCGTCCGAAGGGTCCCAAAGCCCCAGATCCCGGGAATGTGAAATATTATTGTGTTTTCCTCCTTCCCGCTCGGCGTGCACGCTCCGTTGCTAAGACTTGTGCTCCAGCTCTTATGACCTGGCTGGCCGAGCCGATCCCCACTCTGCTCGCGGCCGCGCGGGATCTGACCACGCTTGGTCTCCACGTGGGGACCGCCTCTCTGGCTGCAAGCTGCCTTGCCTGTCCATCCTGCCCGAGCTTGTCTTGTGCGACGAGCACCGGGCCGACCTGTCCAGCGGCACATTGCGAGTGCAACTGCCCGGCCCCCGAGCCCGTCAGGAACCTCATCCTCGTCGGCGCGCTCGTGACCCTGGTGTCTGGCGCCACCGGGCTGCTGGTTGGGCTCGCCGTTGGCAGTGGTGTGTCGCTAGTGCGGCCTCGACGTCCGAATCCTGCGACGCCTGCACCGTCTCCGCCGGTGGCGCCAGTGATCACGGTCCTGACAGACAGCTCGGGGCCCGTCACGCCGGCTTCACGCCGGAATGCCATCGCTTGACGTCAAGGAGACTTACGTCCTCGTCCACTACCCAGATGACGAGAATGGCCTGGTGTGGCATCATCGTGTTCTCTTGTATCGTGTTGCTGGAGGCCGATGGGTGTGCCTCACGCCCGACCTGGGCATGCAGATCCATGATCTCAATGTGCAGCGGCACCGCATCCTCGGGCGGAGAGAGCCGTTCCCGCCCGACATCGCGGCCCGCTGCTACGCCTTTGACGACGACGGAGTGGGCCGGGCGCAGCTCGACGAGCTCAAGCGCCAGGCTCGAGCGCAGGCCGCCATCCTCGGCGACGTGGAGTTCGAGGATGCCGAGGAGGTTAAGTGGCTGGTGTATGAGGCGGGGAGCGACCATTTTGGCAAAGAGGTCCCCGCCGAGGTGCTGGAGGATGACCAGAGGTTCGTCTCTCTCGGTACGCTGGGCGTTGTCGACTGGCTGGGTGAGAAGCGGTTCGTGGAGCGAGTCGCGGCCGACAAGGCCGACGAGTGGAGGCAGAGGCGTGAGGAGTCGGAGGGCGACTCCAGGATCCTCGGCATCCACCGCAAGCACGGGAAGCGGAACCTCACGCTGCACGACGCCGTGCAGCTCTTCACAGAGGACAGCTTCGAGGACTGGCCGTTCCCGCCCCCGCGCGCGACGCTGGAGCACCACGAGTCGATCCGCGACGGGCCAGGTTCGATGGTCGTTTACGAGAGCGAGTGGAGGCAGGACAGTGGTGTCGGCGACGGCACAGCGGCCCTCCACGAGCACAGGAACAACACGGAGGTGCTTAGGCTGGCCCACCAGGTGGACCAGCTCAACATCCCGAACCTGGCGTGCTTCGAGCAGCTGGTTCGGCGCCAGGTCCAGATCGAGATGGCTGTGAAGCGGAACGCGAAGCACCCTGACTACGGAGGTCTGGACCTGGTGCTCGGCGGCCCGACGACCGAGAGCGGCGCTGCCCCCGGCAAGTCCTTCCGCGACTGGGTCTACAAGAAGCAGGGCGAGCGCGCCCAGACGCTCAAGCAGGCCCGGCTCTTGCGTGAGGAGCGCACCCAGGAGGAGAGGCGTCCTCGCGGCGGCAGAGGCGATGGCGATAATTCGAGAGGCCCGAGGAAGCCGAAAGGCCCCAAGCAGGGGGGCGACGGCAAGGGCGACAAGTCAGGCGGAGCGGGGGGTTGACCACGGTGGTCGGCATTCTCCAGGCTGGGTCGGTCGTGCTCCATGGCCGACCCCGCCGCCAATTTTGACCGCGGAGGTGCTGCCGTCCGCCGGCGACTCCGAGCACAGCGGCGCCACGGGGAGCTCTTCCCTCTCCCAGCGCCTTCCTCTTCTCAGCCCGCTTCTCCTGGCGCCCCTCGATACGTTCGACAGCGACGGCTTGGACAGCGGCATCGGCGAGAGTGTGATGTGGTTAGATATCTTAACCAGCTCGCCGCCACAACTACTTCTTTCTCGAGCGTCTCAAGTACGAGGAGATACGGAGGGGAGAGATCCACGCCCTTACAATGCGATGTCCTTCAGCACGTTGCACGGCGCGTCAAGGCGCCCGGGCCCCCCCCATCGAGACCTGGGCGAGAGTCGAGCCCTCGCGGAGCTCACGGCGCCCAGGGACCTGTACTCGCAGGAGCCGAAGAATCTCGCCGAGTACGACATCGACAAGCTCAAGATCTGCCACTCGGGCACCGTGGCCAAGGACGCAAAGTCGCTCTTGCCGCCCGACGCGGCCGGCCTCATCCGACACTACGCCCACTGCATCGAGAGGGACTCGGAGCAGATACTGGAGTTGCAGGCCGCGCGGGACCTCCCGCGGCCGTACTGGGATCCTACGCTTGCTCGGGATCAGGGTGGGCTTCTTCTCATCGATTGACTTCGACAGGCGAACCTCATCAGCTTCCGCCGTAAGCTCAAAGCCAAGATCGGGATCTTCTTCGTTAAGAAAAAGGACCCCGCTTGGATCAGGCTCATCATCGATGCGATGCAGGCCAACCGCTGCCATCGCGCGCCGCCCAAGACGAAGCTGGGGTCCGTCGGCGGGTTCTGCGAGCTCGACCTGTCGGACTCCGCCCTTCGTGACCTCGGCGGCTTCGGGCCCGTGGCCGAGGTCTGGGGCGGGACCAGCGACGTCGACGATTGCTTCTACCAGATGCTGGTCGAGGAGCTGGGGTCGTGGTTCGGGATCGACATGCCTAGGGCCGCGGGCGAGTGGGGTGTCTCCAGCGTCTACGACGACGACGTCGGACGCCACGTCCCCATCGACCCGACCGCCACCCTCTACCCCGTCTTCCACGGCATGGCGATGGGGTGGTCCTGGGCGCTGCACCTGGCCAACGAGGCCGTCACTTCCCTGGCCGGCAAGAGCGCGGTCTGCCCGCGGTCGCTCGTGCAGGCCGTCTCCGGCGTCTACGTGGACAACTTCACGACCATCGCCGGTGGCAAGGTCGACGCCGAGGACTCGATCGAGCGGTTCAGGCGCGCGGCGGCGGAGGCCGGCATCGGCGCGCACGTCGACGGCGACGTCGGGGTGGTCTTCGAGAGCCTCGGGGTCGTCTTCGATGGCCGGCAGCGCTGTCTGCGGCATCTGCCTCGCCGCGTGTGGCGCGTCTACTTGGCCACGCGGGCCTTGCGGCGGCGCCGCTGGGTCCACGGGAACATCCTGGAGATCTGGATGGGCCACGTGGTCAACCTGTTCGGCCTGCTGCGTCCTGGGCTGTCCTGCTTCCAGCAAATCTACCCATTCGTGACTAACGCACGGGGCGACGAGTTCGCCTCACTGACGCCGTCAAGAACGAGATGCGTCTGGTCCAGGGCCTGTTGTTCCTCTGCGAGTATGACTTGGGCGCGGACTTCAGCCACGAGGTCTACTGCTCGGACTCGTCGGACATCGGCTTCGCGCTGCTCTCTACCAGAGCGACGGAGGCTGAGCTGCGGGACCTCACCCGCTACCGCGAGAGATGGAGGTTCAAGTCGATGGAGACCCTCTCTGAGGTCGCCCTGGTCAGGCCCGAGTGGGCCGAGTACGTTGGAGGTCGCTTGCGGCCTGGAGGTGGAGCTGATCTACCCGAGGGTGCCTGCGCTGACGTTGCCGCGCGAGGGTCTCGACCCTGTGCCATCGGCCCGCGGACGCAGCATGGGCGCCTCCTGGACGAGGAGCGCCACCACCGCCTGGCCGACAAGGCTGGCCGAGTCGGGCGACGGGCTCGTGAGCCTCGCCCCCGGCCGCGCCATGAGGAGGTCGAGGTGCCGAGTGCCATTCCGCCAGTCGACCAGTGCTGGGACACGCCGCGCCGCTGGACCCATCTGCGGGTCGGGCGCTGGAAGTGGACCAAGGAGCACATCAATATCAAGGAAGGTCGGGCCTCTTTGTTTGGCCTGCGGAGAGCGACCCGCGCTCGCCACAACCACGGCAAGCGGGTCGCGTCGCTGGGCGACAACCTCGTGTCCATCTGTGCTTTCGAGAAGGGCCGCGCGAAGTCGCGGGCTTTCAATTCGCTGGCGAGACGGGCGGCTGGGTACCAGATCGCCGCCCGGGTTCGCTGGCACTCTCGGCACATCGAGAGCAAGCGAAACGCTGCAGACGCTGGCTCGCGTCTGCACCAGTCTGGAGGGTCGGCCGATCGGTCGTCGCCTCATGTCGAGCCTCGTCCAGAGCAAGATCCAGAGTCGTGTTCACATGGCTCGGCTGACCCTCCGAGCCGCAGCCCCGGGCAAGGAGACCGTGGCGCTCGAGCTCTTTGCCGGCGAGGCTGGCCTCACCTGGGCCCTTCGGCCCCGCGGTCTGCGGGTCGGGCCACCCTGTGAACTGCTACGAGGCGCGAAGTTTGACCTCACCAGAAAAAGCACTCAGAACCTCATCAAGTCCTGGATCCGTGCGGGCCTCATCTGGCGCATCCATCTGGGGACCCCATGTACGGCCTGGTCTATTGCAAGGAGGGGAGTTGTTAATCTGGAAAAGGCTCACGCCAAGGAGGCAGTCGCTGTGGAGCTGGCCCTCTTCACGGCCGAGGTATGCACGTTGGCCTCCCGGTGCGGGGCCCTCTGGAGTCTGGAGAACCCTGCGTCATCGGGGCTTTGGGAGTTCGGGCCCATCGTGGACCTCATGGGGCTCCCAGAGGTCTTCAAGGTCACCTTCCACATGTGCCAGTATGAGGTCTCCCACAAGAAGCCCACCACTATCCTCACCAACATGTTGGCCCTGCGCGGGCTCGAGGCGAGATGTCAGGGGGGTCATGTTCATCGTATTCTTGAGGGTCAAGAGCGAGTCTTGGGAGTTGATGGAGTCTGGCGTTCACAATGCAAAACAAAGGCAGCAGGGACATATCCGTCGGCATTGTGCTCAAAGTGGGCTTCTTTTATTTTTACTATCGCACCGTCTTCAGCACTTGGGTCCCAGGCAGCTTTCGTGGATCAGTGGGATGAAGCTCTTGTGGCACTTGTCGGACAACGGAGGTCCCGCACCGACCGCAGATCGGCTGGGGGGGCGGACGACGCCGACTCGGAAGACCTTCAACGTGCTGAAGGATACATCGTCGAGAATCGACTGCGCTTCGGGCGCCATCCCCCGGCCTGGGCCTCGTCGACAGAAGGCGCAGCGGAGGAAGGTGGTGGCCGCTAGGTCCTCGGCCCCCGCGGATCGGTTCTTGCAGGAGAGCACCGCGGGCGAGAAGTCCAAGGACATCTACCGACGCGAGGTCAGTCGTTTCTTCAGTTGGGCCGAGGAGCGTAGCCTCTCGAGCAAGCCCGACGAGCTCGCGTCCACCATGGAACAGTATTTCTACTTTAAGTTCTTCAGTTCCAGGAGGGGTACGGGCCCGGCTTGGGCCGCTCCGTCTTCTTCGGGTACCTCTTGCTGCACTCCACGAACTACAAGCTCGAGAGGGACCGGCTCGGCGACGTCGAGAGGGCGCTCGCTGGCTGGGCCAAGCGGGCCCGCGAGACTGTGAAGGACCCCGCGCCTCAGGAGGTGCTGCTGGACATGGCCGTCTGGATGCTCGACCACGGACGGGGTGAGAGTGCCTCGTGCATGGCCCTGCAGTTGGACGACTACGCCAGGCCCTCCGAGAGCGTGGACCTCGTGCTGGGCAACGTGCTGAAGCCGGTCGTCGGTGTTCGCGGGGCGCCGTCCCGCGACTGGGGCATTGTCTTTGCCCCGGCAGAGCTTGGCTTTGTCGCCAAGACAGGTCAGGTCGACGATTCTGTGGCGCTGGGCAGTCCCTCTCGCCTGTGGGCCCCACAGGTGGCAGAGGCTCTCGCGACGCGAGCCTCCAGCGGCTCGCGTCGCTCGCGGGGCAGTCAGCAGGCCGGTCCTACGACGCGTCTGTTCGACTCACTCACCCTGGCGCAGTACGAGCGGGACTTCAGAGACGCCGCCAAGGCGCTCGGATACGAGAAGCTCAACATCACACCGCACACAGTGCGGCACACAGCCCCCTCGCACGACATTTACCACAAGCACCGGTCCTTGGAGCAGGTGCGACGCCGCGGCCGCTGGGCCGCCAAGAAGAGCGTCACTCGCTACGAGCGCCATGCCAAACTCTTGAAACAGTACAGCAAGTTGACGGCTGTGCAGATCGCCCGGGTGAATAAGTCAGTCCGTCAGTTCCCAGCCGCCGTACTCAAGCACATTCGTGGTCGTTGAATGCTGTTCAAGTTTACCCACCCTCGTCCACCCTCTTTCTTTTGATATTCGTGACTACGCCCCAGAGTTCCCATATGGGCAAAGATACGGGAGAGTTCGGATCGGAGAGAGTTTTTCCAGCGCAATCGCATGACGATTCCTTGGAAGGATCCTTTGTATCACACAGGTGATCATCGGAAGAGTGAAAATTAATGACCTTCTTTGTTACATATGAGGCCTTCGGCCGCCGTGATATCTGAGGCCTCTCGGCCGCCTTCCGCTGGTGTAGGTTGTGGGCAGGCTCCTAGAGGCTCTGGGCACGCACTTAGGGTTCAGAGGAATGTGGAATATTATTGTGTTTTCCTCCATCCCGCTCGGCGTGCACGTTCCGTTGCTAATACTTGTGCTCAAGCTCTCCCACCCACGGGCCACCCTGCTTGAGGGGAGAATTCCGATCGGAGAGAGCTTTTTCAGCGCAATCGCATGACGATTCCTTGGGCGGATTCTTTGTATCACGCAGGTGATCATCGGAAGCGTGAAAATGAATGACCTTCTTTGTTATATCTGAGGCCTTCGGCCGCCGTGATATCTGAGGCCTCTCGGCCGCCTTCCGCTGGTGTAGGTTGTGGGCAGGCTCCTAGAGGCTCTGGGCACGCACTTAGGGTTCAGAGGAATTATATTTTCTCTGGGGGGGGGGACGGATTTTCCCCCCATCCGGGCTTGCAAACTATAGGAAGATATTATATATATTATATATATATTATATATATATATATATATATATAGCACACACACACACACATATGCATGTGTATATGTGTATATATAGATGTCTGTATCTGCATAAGTTTATGTATACGTGTATACATATATGGGAGATCCCGGGCCCCGGGCCCCGGGCCGGAACCTCCCTTGTATATAGGGTGCGGCCCTCTCCCGGGGCGCCCTTCCGGCGGCCCCCGCGCGTTCCAGCCCGCCCAAGAGGGCTCCAGGAGCGCCGAGAGAACCCCAGGATCGCTTCAAGACCGCCAAAGATCGCTTCCAGAAGGGTCAAGAGGCGCTCAAACCGCCCCAAGAGGCCTTCAAGAGGCCCCCCACGAGCGCCCCGGGAGACCAAAATAGCCCCATTCCCTTCGTAAAACGTACAATTTTACGATATCAGCTCCCTTAGCTGTCGGAGCGGCCAGAAAGCCCCACGAGGCGCCCAAGGACGCTCCAGGACGACTGAGGACAGCCCCAAGACGGCCCAGGAGGGCCTCCCGGGACGCTCCTCCGGCGGCCCCCGGGCTGCCCAGTCCGCCCAAGAAGGCTCCAAGAGCGCCGAGAGAAGCCCAGGATCGCTTCAAGACCGCCAAAGATCGCTTCCAGAAGGGTCAAGAGGCGCTCAAACCGCCCCAAGAGGCCTCCAAGAGGCCCCCCAAGAGCGCCCCGGGAGACCAACATAGCCCCATTCCCTTCGTAAAACGTAAATTTTTAGGATATCAGCTCCCTTGGCTGTCGGAGCGGTCCGAAAGCCCCACGAGGCGCCCTAGGATAGCCCGAAGACAGCCCCAAGGCCTCCCGGGACGCTCCTCGGGCGGCCCCCGGGCCTCCCAGTCCGCCAAAGAAGGCTCCAAGAGCGCCGAGAGAAGCCCAGGATCGCTTCAAGACCGCCAAAGATCGCTTCCAGAAGGGACAAGAGGCCATCAAACCGCCCCAAGAGGCCTCCAAGAGGCCCCCCAAGAGCGCCCCGGGACACCAAAATGGCCCCATTCCTTTCGTAAAACGTACATTTTTAGGATATCTCATCCCTTGGCTGTCCGAGTTGTCAGACAGCCCCAGGAGGCGCCCAAGGACGCCCCAGGACGCCTGAGGACAGCGCTAAGAGGGCCTAGGAGGGCTTCCTGGGACGCTCCTCGGGCGGCCCCCGGGCCTCCCAGTCCGCCCAAGAATGGCCCAAGAGACTTCCCGGTCGCCCCGAGAGGGCCCCCGGAGCGCTCCGATACGGCCCAACATGGCCTCCAGAAGGGCCACGAGGCCGTCAAGACGCCCCAAGAAGGCTCCAAGAGGCCTTCCAAAAGGGCCCCGGAATCGCCACGGAATCGGACCCGTGCTTGCGAACACCGTTTTCGGAGCAAACTAGAACCTAAGCGCGCGCGAAGCGCGCGCGTGGTTCTAGTACTTATATGTATATGTATATGTATATGTCTATGTATGTGTATATGTGTATGTATATGTGTATGTTTATGTATATGTATATGTATAAACATCTCGAATGGCAGTCGGCCCGTCCCGCCACCGTGCTTGGGTTGTGGGTCGGAGCTGTCAGGGATGTTTCTTGGAGCTTTTTCGGGGCGCTCTCGGCGGCGTCTTGGTGTCAGTTTTGGGGTATCGAAGGGGCCTCTTTGGGCCTCTTGGTGGCCTCTTGGGGCCTCTTGGGGGCCTCTTGAGGGCCTCTTGGTCGCCTCTCGGGCTGCCGCCCTATTGGGCAGTTTTGGAGCCTTGTTGGGGTCATCTTCGGCCGTCTTGAGGCGATGTTGGGGGCTCTTCGGGCCATTTGGGATCGTCGGGAAGCCGACAAGGCGAGGACGCCAACAACCTTCAAAAACCGACGGGCAATCAATGAGTATGGATGGCATCTTGTGGCCCTCCTGGGAGGCCTCTTGGAGGCCTTGTGGGGTGTCTTCGAGGCATCTTGTGCCGTCTGGG